AAGAGAGTGTGTGTTCGGCGAGTCTTGTCCTACACCTGCCAATATAAAGAAGATGTCTCCCAATGACCTGTCCACCTTCCTGGAAAGGACAGGATGGACGATGACCTAGGAGAACAACTCCTCGGGAGGATGTACAATGGGTCACATGTGGCCTAAGTGCTATGGGCTTACACTCACCCTCCCTACTCTACAGATACCTTGATCTTTACATCATCAGACAAATAAAGTTTCGTTTTGATAGGGAAAACTATAGCCAACACTTAAAATTAGTGCAGCCGCCGTCACCATTTGGAATTTAGATATGGAGAATGATACTTACTAAAGAACTATCTTAGATGTTATCTGCGGAAGTGATCACCCTCCAACGGTTTGGCTTAGCTTCTCCTTATCAAATAGATACTGTTTTAGAATAGAACATTTGTCAGTTAAGTCCTTCCAGGTCATTGATACCTCTTACATGAACTTTTCCTAAGGAGCTTCCCTATTTATGTGAGATATGAAAACACACGTTCCCCTTTTCCCCTGTTTCCCCTACCAGTATAATTACCGGCAAATACACCGTATTTAAACTTGATAAGTATAATTAAAAAAATAATAACTGTAGAAGTTACAAATGAAATGTGAATGACAAAAAAACGAAACCAAATCACCAAACGGAACACATTAACCTAACCAGACCATAAGAAAGTGCTCAACCGGCATTCGCCTGTTTAATCATAAACATGCCACTTTTTCTTTTCTACTTAATTAAACACAAGACACCCAGAATGGAACTGCACTCGTTTTAACTGGCAACTAAAAAGGAAAAGAAAGAAAAACCGGGGTTTTCCCGAACTCCCAAAAGTACCTGGTTTGTCCCTTTCTTCCAAATACTTAATTAGTTTTCCGACTTTATCTCCCCTGAAAAATTCTCCTCTAACTTTTTTTCACTCAACTCGACCTTTCGACGACTCAAAACCCCTGACGCACACCTCTCAACTTCTACTGAAAACTCACTCTCTGGCGGATATTTCCCTTCTTAAAATTAAATGGAATAGGACGGCCCGGCCCATACATGTCTTTCGGTTGCTTGATGATTCGTTAAATATTTCGGCCCTCTTTAATTTGTTTTTAGCATGCCGTTCCCAGATTATCGCTGACTCTTCAATAAAACCCAACTCTGTTTCATAAACAGAGTGTCGCCAGCTATCAGTAATAATGAGTTTTTTCATCTGGCCCTTAAAAAGTAACTATGAATAAAACCCACTGTATCTTGTGGCTAAGAAATATGCCTTTAGCACGTACAAATCATATATACATCCGTTCAGTAAGATATCGTTTTCTTTGGGAAATCTTCTGATATTTCTCGGTTAACTCGATTCCCCATGAACTTTCATTTTCCATATTTGGAAAAATACTTGAGACCACAAAAATTACAAAATAAAAAACATGGCGTCTTCTCAGAAAGCGAACTGTTACAAATCAACCAAACATTAGGCAATGAGATTGTGTTAATGCCACACTGTTCGACGTTGGTTTGCAAAATTTCGTTAAGGAGATTTTGGCCTCGAATATGAGTATGGAAGTGCCCGACCTACAGTGACCCAGGACGAGGATTTGAAGACCCTGATAGAGACTGACCCATCACAAACGGTGCGTGGGATGGACATGGTGGAAGAACCGGGCGTCAGCTCCCGTTACAGTTTTTGATGATTTAAAGTGTATTGGAAAGGTCAAAATGCTCGATAGAAACTGTCACGTTTCGAGGTCCACTCTTCTTTGCTTTTGCACAATCAAAATGATCCTTTTTTGGATAGGACCATCACATGTGATGAAAAATGGATAATCTTCGACAACAGGAGACCTTCAGGACAATGGTTGGACACCGATGAGCTACACAGCTACTTCCCAAAGGCAAAAACCCACTAAAACAGACCATGGTTAGTGTATGGTGATCAGTGGCTAGTGTGATTCACTATAACTTTTCTGCAACCGAGCCAAATCATCATAGCATCATAGTCCTATTGTAAGAAAATCGACTAAATGTACCGAAAATTACGTCCGCAACAGGAGAGATGCTGCTCCACGACAACACACATTCGCACGTTTCACAAATCAGCATCCGACAATTAAAGGAATTGAACGTCAAACTTCAGCCTCACCCACCATACTGCCCAGAACTCTCGCCAACCGACTACCATCTTTTCAAGCACTTCGATAACTTTCACACCAGTAGAATCTTCGCCAATCAAAACCAGGCAAAAACGGCCTTCGTCGGCTTCATCGATCCCGAGCACACAGTTTCCATGCTGACAGTATTAATCGACTTGTGTTACGTTGGCAAAAGTGCACAGATTCAAATGATGCTTATTTTGCTTGAATTAAAGTATTCACTGAGATATAACAGTTCAAAATTGACTCATAAAAACCGACAAAACCTAATACACTAAAATGGTTAATATTGAATTTGTTTTTCTGTATACGTTCAGTTGAATATAACACCGATCCAAAACATAGAAATTGAAGATGAAATGGTTTTATATGGATGGAAGACTTTCACAATATTTAGAAATAATCATTTTTTTTAGGTTGGTCAATATATGGCTTTCACAGGTCTAGTCACTCTGTTTTAAATATGAGATGAATATAATTTTTCTATCAAATACAATTTTATTAGAGGTTTTGTCTCCGTCCAGTGGTATACCACTGGACGGTATACCACTAATAAAATAACTGACCTTCGAACTTGACCGAATTACATGATCTGGAAAGAACCCCCATTCCTCTGCTTCTTAGAGGAATACAGCACATACCTTATGATTATCCTGTGAAATGTATTCAATGAAATGCTGTCTTACACCTTTGAGGTACACATATATGTGTAACGAGGCAGATATACGAGGTCTGTTCAAAAAATATGGTGAATATTCAAATTTCCCGGTCTATGTATATTCCATTAGTGATTTTTTTTGTTGGTACACTTGTCTTGAACATATGTTCACAGTTCAATTGAGGCTGAGCCTATGGCGAGAAAGGCTTATTGCGCAGCCTCTGCTGCAGGTAACCAGTGATGTAATTGAACCCAGGTTTGTGTTTAATAAACCCTACAAAATACAAATAAAACAGAACACAGAATCATATGCTACAAATGCAATACTCATATATACAGACGGCTGGAAAATCAAAGAAGGCTCAGGATGTGGAGTTTACTCCAGATCACTAAGCCTAAGGATTAAGTGGGGAATGGGAAAAATATCAGCGTGGTTTTCAAACAGAACTGGCTGGTAACTTAATCGTCACAAAAGAAGTAACCAGGAAAGAAATTTCTGGCAAAAACATAACAATCTGTATATAGACAAGCCCTATTACCTTGAACAGACCACCTGTTTCGTCAGGGTTAGTACATGAGTGCCACCAAGATTTAACCAAAGCCTCGGTAGATAACAACATTATCCTGAGGATGGTTAAAGGGCACGACAGGTGAAGTTCCATTTGAAAAATCAAAGAAGCCGCTACTTTATAGTAGAAGCGACAACGCCGCTTCATCTGAAATATTTTAGGCGTGTAGATAATAACATTATCCTGAGGAAGGCTAAAGGGCACGACAGGAGTAAAGGTGATCGCATTGCCGACTCTTTAGCCAAGGAAGCGGCTGGACCCAGTGATGTCTGATGACTTCGACAGTAGGATTTCTGACTGGCCACTGGCAACTAAGGTAACACCTCTATAATATGGGGCTAGTAGACACACCCCTGTGCAGGATGTGTGAACAGAAAGATGAAACTGTCAGGCATGTCCTATGCGAGTGTCCGGAGTTATCGTCAATAAGAGAGTGTGTGTTCGGCGAGTATTGGCCTACACCTGCTGATATAAAGGTGATATCTCAAAGTGACCTGTCCTCTTCCCTGGAAAGGACAGGATGGAGGATATGACCTAGGAGGACAACTCCTCGGGAGGATGTACAATGGGTCACATGTGGCTAAGGGCTCTACAGATACAGATGTTCACTCCAATGATGAGATGCATAAAAGTTAAAAGTGTTTTGCGAGTTCGGCGATTTTTTGCTATCGAAAAAATGTATTAAAAAATTTGCATCACACTATTAGAGAAGTTGCTGTGGATATCGCCAAATCGGTTGGACCAAGCCACGCAATTTTTTCGTAAATTTTGTCATGAAGCGTGTGGCAGCGAATTTCTTTCCAAAATTGCCGAATTTTGACAAAAAACCGTCGCATGACCACCGCTCAGAAATGTTTGACCCAAATGTACTTAAAAGGGTCATAAATGATGATGAATCATGGGTACCTATATGGTTATGACATCATAACCAAAGTCCAATTATCCCAATGGAAAAGCCCAGGAGAGCCAACACAAAAAAAATGCACGCGGAATTTGATCAAATTCAAAAGTTTTGCTTACTGTTTCCTTTGATAACCGTGGCGTAGTGCACTAGGAGTTTTTTCCACGTGATCGTACGATCAATAAGGAGTATTATCTTAAACTGATGCGCCGCTTGCGAGAAGCAATACGAAGAAAACGTCCGGTATTGTGGAAAAACAATTCATCATCACGATAATGCACCTGCTCACTCGTCACTGTTTATTCCTAATTTTTTGGCCAATAACAAGACCATAATTATGCCTCAGCCTCCGTATTCATCAGATTTGGTCCCCTGTGACTATTTTATGTTCCCAAGATTGAAGAGACCATAATGGCGTTTTGCGATAATC